TTTGGAGTTTTACGCATACGGTATAATTTTACTGGGGTAGCATACCAGCGCAACATGGTCTTGTAGGCCTGTTCTTGGTGTGTGACGCACGCTGAAATAGCTTTGTTTGCGTCCCCCCAGGAGCCTGTTTAAAACTCATGGTGGTAAAACTCCATGAATTTCTGATGCCACTGAGACCAAATCTCTGCTTCTACTCTAAAACTGGGACTGCAACTTAATTCAGAACCAGAGATAACTACAAAGGTGCACATGGCTCCACATACCTGGGACTTGTCCAAGATCGTACCTTTTATGCCAAGTCTCCCATCTTGGGCTTAGGCACCTGTACAGCTCCATCAACCTCATTAGCCCACAGAGGACATATTGTCATACGAGGACCTGAGGAGCCGGCGAGGTGTGTCGGGAATTTAGCTGGCTGAATGTCATTTAATTTACCTGGGATTAATTTATGATTTTGGGTTGTAATAAATATGTGTTTTTGTTTTCATTAGTTCTGTGCAATGCATTGCAAACATCTACCAAACCTTCATTCAGTAATTATTTTAACTAGATGGGGAGATTTTAATTAATAATATCATGGCCTATTATGGTGGGGTCAACATCGGTATTATTATATTATATTTTGTATTCTGCCTCAATGCATATATGTGGTGGACCATAATGCGATGAGAAGCCTCTAACTAGTAACACTCTGTTGCTTACCAACAAATAGCCTTTGATCCTACAGGAGATATCAACCGTGTTCCTTTGGCTAATACTTGTTTTAGATATATGCTAGTCATATACATGCATCTGTACCTAAATCAGTTATGCAAAAAAAAGGGGTTTTACCCACTTGATCTATAACATGTACCTTGCTTGGATCACTTAATAAAAAGAGAATTTAAATTACTTTAAAATATGAATTATCACAGTAGAAACCAATATAATTGATCTCACCTAGTAGCATTTTGCCTTAACAAATCTATCCTTTAATCAACACCACACGTCTATTCTTTAGCATTGGGATCAAATGCCTTAATATGGTGTATTTTAGTGGTCAAGTGTGAGACACCTGTTATTAGTTAATTGGCACCAGTTCCCAGACTAATGACAGAAGCATGTAAATGATTATATTCAAAGCAATGAAGCATATAACAATAATTGAATGCTCTTTGAGTGAGAAACACAATTACTACTACTAGCGCTGCATCTTAATCAACTATAGTGTTAATTAGAGGCAGAGTCCCTTTAAATTTATGCCATGAGCCACCAAACAGGTGATCAATGTGCTTTTCTATGGGATGGCAAAGCTGCAGCAATCAACACACAATATAAGCTGGCCACTGCATGAGGAAATGTTTTATCTTTTTTATTATTCTTATATTTAATTCAGACGCATAACTAGTTGTAAAAATGCAAAATCAAGAGGATGTCCATTTTTATATATTTTTTTTAAGCATCACAATTTGGTTTCATGACAATCTGACTGCATTATTTATTTATTTATTTATAAAATATTTTACCAGGAAAAATACATTGAGATTTCTCTCGTTTTCAAGTATGTCCTGGGTCCACAAAACATTGCATTGTTACAGTTAGGGTACAATAAAATACAAAAACAATATTAATACACAGTATATACAAAATTTAACATAGAACAGGCAGGAAATATATAATCAACCATGACAGGTGCATTCTGTTTTGAGATATGTAGAGAGGGATCTCTTAAAGGACTTTAGGCTTAGGGAAGATTTTAAATTGTGCGGGAGGTCGTTCCACAATTGTGGTGCTCTGTAGGAGATGGAGGATCGGGCTGCTTTCTTTTTGTATTGAGGTAGACTAAGCATGATGTTGCGCTTGTTTTTTTTTTTTTTATTTTTTATTTGTAGAAAGATTGTCTAGCAATTATTTCACCCATACAAGCCAATTATTATAGTGCTTTGTTATATATGTCTAAATAGAGTTTCTCTACATGGAGTCTCTTTCCCATTACTCTAATGATTGTGTCTGCAAGTAATATTAGCTACATTTGCATGACAAATTATTTAAAAATGGTTAGCTGAAAATATAGTGAATGCCAAAGCTGTCCCAGAGGACATTTTTAAGATACCACGTGCTTGCTCATAATTTTAGGATTTCTGAATGCCCACTGGATTTTGGTTACCAACATTGTTTACATTACATTACAAAATGTTATAGGAACAATAGGTTTATGAGAACCTTGGTCAAACGAGCTTACACTCTAAAGGAGATGAGGTATAAAAAAAACAATAGGAAGGCATCAAGGGGTATAGCAACCAAATAACAAGGTGGGAAAGTAGCAGAACTCGAAGGTAAGAGTGGAGTGTGGCCCTTTAAGAGAGAGCAAGAAACAGGTTTGTGAAATAGAAGTTACTCTAGCAGGCCATAAGCTTTTCTGTAGAGATGGGTTTTGAGGAAATTCTCAAATGACTGAAGACTAGGGGAGGGTGTGTTGGGGTAGACAGTCACAGACTGTTTCAAAGGAAAGGAGGCGCCCGCAAGAAGTCCTGCAAGTGCCTTAGCAGTAAAGATGCGAGCAACAGACAGGAGAAAGTCACCTACAGAGTGGATAGAGGCCATTTGGCAATGCCTTGAATGGACAAAAACACCTGAACAGAGAAGAGGGATGCCTAAAGAATGATGTTAGCATGTTAGCCTAAAGTGAATGCATACCAAGCTGACTTGCAGCCCATGATAAGAGCACTTTTAAAGAATTCTGGGAATGAACTAAAGGCCATGAATGCATTAGGTTTAGAGCAAGCAAGTCTTTTGATATGTTTGCACTATGCTGATAGCGGACATTGCATAACACTAAGGAACTAACACAAGATGGCAGGACAGTAGTTTGATATTGGGACCTGTGATTCTTGTGGGGGAGGGGAGTATGTGTTCATAGTTTCACAAAGGTTAAACATACATCTCTTGTGTTACATGGAACCTGCATCAGTTTGGCAATGTTCTAAAGGTTTAATGGTGATTAGGTGATTCAGCTGCCAAATCCCATTTACCATACAAATGTTTTGAATGCATAATGAGGATGAGTGAATGCATATTATTTTTTGGTGAAACTTACTGAAAACATTTTGCCAAAATCTGGACTAATATTCAAATATACACTCCTTCCACAATAGCACTTTCATATCTCCTGATAGTGGGAGCTACAATATATCACACGCTGTTTATTGGGACGTCTGATTTATCACATCCATTTTTACTGAAATGGAGCTGAAAGCACTGTGTGTAATAAATCTCGAATGAAGAGTGACTGTTCATTAACATTTTCCAGGTAACCATAGCCACTCTAAATTAAGATATTGAAAAATGAAATCTGTACTCTTAGAATAGATTTATTCGACATATATTTTGCTATAAATCAGCCAGATCTCTCTCAAGTTGTAAACATCATTTGCAGCTGTTATTGTAAATGAAACAGGCATCTAATTAGGGCTGTTACTGTGCATTCCTTCCAGCATGATTGGGTAATAACAGAGAACATCTACAATTTGGTTTTAAGGAACAGACAAACCACTTTGCATACAAATAGTTCATTTTCATAGAGGGAACCTTTCTCATTGGTATTTGAGCAGACTAATGTTGTGAAAACACATTGATCGCTTGTCTTTGAAAATTGCAGGCGTCCTTCCAGAAATTCTGTATATTTTCTGGGTTTCATTAAGTCTAGAGTTGAGTTTATTTATCATTCTTTATCTAGGTATAATATTGAACATTTCTTTATTGCTTAACCAAAGTAGAACAAAGGATACAATATTTTTTATTTTTTTACATTGAAACAAAATTAGGATCTCTGCAAAGTGTTCTCAAAACAGTCGTTTGACATAGAGAGAGGGTAGTTCCCCTGTTGTATCTTATGCATGATTCATACTGTAACAGACCATGTGAAGTGCTTCTGGCAGTTTGAGACATTCATATTATGCTGGCGTAAAACCAAATAATTAAAGGGAAAATTTAGGTTTAAAAACTGAATATTGAAATGCACTTAAATGAGAGTTGAAAAAATAAGCATTTATTATTTTTTCTAAATAATTTTCCAAAGATTCTAAAATCCTACAAGTTCTGCAGCTAAGCTGTTCCAGACCCTTTTTGCCCAGCACTATGGAAATAAATATTACTAAAAAATAAAAAATACATATGACATGGTTAAATAATTAAACACTGGATCTTTTACAAATTATAAATGAAATAATTACTGAAAAAATATTTATATATAAAATAATTTACTGAAATAGCTCCTGAAATGTATGTCATTGACAGAGTTAACAAGTTTCAAATAATTATTGTTTCTTCTAGTTAAGTTTTGATTCTTCTTCTTTTTTTTCCTTTCATATAATCTTATCTAATCTTACATGGGATGCTGCTTTGTACTATTATGGAGTTAATACATATAAAAATTTCTAAAGGAAATTCATATCTGATATAGATGTATAGATATATGTTAATCGTATTATTTTTATTTTGTGAGACTGCATGCTGTTACTTTAAAAACATTTTACATTATATTATTCCAAACTGGTCAGCCTAAAGTATCTATCATATGTCCATGATATGAAGTTGCTAGGGTATTGTTTTTCTACAGTTTAATTATAACTTTTGATAAGGTGTCTTTTTTTGGCTCTTAAGGTACTTGAGAATTGGAATGTGTATATTTTAAAATATAATCCTGCACTTATGGGTAAGAAGATTTAATTTAAAACAGTTTTGTTTACAAAAAAAAAATAATGAATTTCTATAAACTCAACAGAATGATCACGAAGACATTTCACTTCACGGAGGTTCTAGTCAAAAAGTCTCTAATCACTTAGTAAAACGGGGGATGTAAGGAAGCAGTGCTTAACAATTGAATTCCTTGTGTGGAGTCCAATGGAGCAAATATAAGGGAGAAAACAAAATGGGACATGAATACTAATATAGTGTAGTATGTCTATAACAGCAGAGGCAGAATATAAGGAAAACATATATTGCACTCACACTTTAATGGAGCTCAAGATCAGCTCCAGATCACAGTGTATGGATGGTACAATCACCGTCTGTGGATGTTAGGATGGTCCTGATTTCCTCTGGTATCGTATCCCTGTGCCAATAATCCATGTGGTGTATTCCAGATGATGCTCCAGTGATATATATGGGATATAAAAGAACAGGAATAGTGTTCTCGGTATTAATAAAACAAATAAAATACAGAGAGAAATATACTCACAATGGATGAGCAAATAGGGATTGCTCAGTCCTTTACTGCAGAGGTGGTTTGTCCCTCACCCAGGAATGTGAGATACAGCTTCTCCAATAAAAGATGTCCAATGAAGGGCCAGGGGTACAATACAGATTAATTTTATTAAACAAATAAAAAGTAAGTAACACACTAACGCGTTTCACCTATACAGAAAGCTTTTTCAAAGTCTACATTCCCCGTTTTACTTACATCAACGACCAGAAAGAAGAGGCTCTGGTTTGGGAAAGTTTTAGCTGCTGTACATATAAGGAACCAGCACCATACATCTCACTTGCTGCTAGATCTAATAATTTAGTGGTAAGATTCTATTTTTTAATTTTACATGTTCAGTTGTGAGCTTTTTAGATTGTGAAAGCTAGAACATTTTTTGGAACACTCCTATGATGGAGTTTAAATTGAATGGTGAATTTTAATATAATTGTGCTAACTGGGTAGATGAATAATATGTAAATCAGGTGTAGAAAGTACTCCATTTACCGAAATTCAAAGACAGATAATTAATTTAAACTTTTTGTTTTTATAGTTCATATGAAAAAAAGTATTATATGTACCAAAGACCTGAAAAAAATATATACTTCGAGCCTTTTTAGGAATTAAATTAATTTTCTCTTGGAAATTGCATGCTAAGAATGAAATGTTATATGTTAATGTTTTCTGAAGGTCTTTATGTAAATAAGTCGACAATGGATTGAAGTTATTTGAATATTTAAAATCAATAAGGGATATTAAATATATTTCTAAAATCTATACTTCTGGTGCTGTAGGCCATCCATTTCAAGGATGGACACGCATACTAAGAATTATTTTTCTTTTTTTTTCTCCCTCGTTACCAGATATGAGGGATGCTCACTGGATTTCTATTACACATTTCCTTGTACACATTTGAGTTAATAGTGCACGGAAATCTACAGACCTCTACAGTTTTAAAAATGTTGGTATAAACAATTTTTGCTACTTACTGGTACATTTATACTTGATTTGCAGCTTATATTTAAGGGACAATCCAAGCTAGAGATAACCCATACATTTTATTTTTTTTAAATTAAAACAATAAATATAAAAAAAGCACAGCTTATGCTGTGAGCTCTCACCAGATCAGGAAGTGACTCAGCCAATCATGATTATTACTTAATGTCCTATAGTACTGCTGATCTTGAGCAATTATGTAAGTATAAACAATTATTTAAGGGTACATTATGTGTGTCTGGGAGTTGTAATTCAATTTTTACTCTAGAAAATAAACAGCGGGAGTATATCTGTCAGGAGAAGTCATTAATTAATTTCCAACTCTGTAGGTTGGGAGAGAGGGCAGAAGGGGTGAGCATACAGAGCAAAACTATAATTGTAGAATTTATAAACCTGAGCTACATGTGTGAGTGTTGGAAACAAGCATAAATTGGCATTTAGCATACACTTAACTCTGCTTCAAGTATATAACTGGATTTCTATGTTGGCTAGTAACTATCAGTAATACAGAATTAATTGTTTTACACATGGGGTAGAAGTGAGAGATTTCTAAGTCCTGGACTATTCAAGGAAATAGGTAATTCAGGAGTAAGGTGCAAACCACTGCATAATAAAATATATAATAAGTCACAGTTTGAAACATGATTTCTCAGAACTGTTCTATTACTAACATTACATGCTACATGTTTATGGACCTGCGCGTCCACACAATTATTTTATTTAATTCATTTTGACCTGGGAGACCTAAAAAATTGGTTGACTTGGACCTGCGTGTGCAGGTTTTGCAATGGACTTTTGACCTAACAACCAGCAAAAATTTCTAATTAAAAAAAAAATTAAAAAAACAAAACAAAAAATAAATAAAATATATATATATATATATATATATATATATATATATTATAAGTCTTGTAAGGTTGGGGCATCCTCTGCTTAACAGTTTTCATAGTATTAATAAATATAAAGATTTGGAACATTGTAAGGTTAGGTTACCTTTTCTTTTTGCACATATTAAGGAGATTAAATAAGACCTTCCACTTTTTGAAAATATACTCTATATTCCACTGCTGTCTGAGACATAAAGTGAGCCTGTCAAGGCAGGTTCAATTTAACGTGTAACATCTTCTTAGTAATATGTTATAAAGATACATTGTATACTTAATTGTTGAAAGTGATGTTAAGGAAATACCTTCTCTCCATGGACCTTACACTGATAGAGCACTCATGTCCCACAAGTGGTTACCCCTTTCCCTCTTGTTATGGCCCTTTTTGGGAACAGTTCCACAAACAAGATGTGTGACCTCCCACATAGCTGAACTAACCTTCAGGCTACGTAATGAGGCTGCTTAGGGCTGAGATAAGGGCTTATGTGCTACAACAATACTTGGCCATGCTTGGCCAGTTTCATCATCCCTATATTAAAAATGATAGGGGTCCTAAACTGACAAATTACCTAGGGCCAAATGAGATCTTAATTCTTTATTGTTTTCCCCATGATGTCAACTCAATAGACTCATTGCAAAAGCATCATCATCGGAATGTAACTTATATCTGACAATTCTTTAGCAAATCACGAGATGTGCTGGGTAAAGTGATAAACACAGCAGCTATAGCACATGTGCACAGGGGGATGCTTGTTGGAGAGTACTTTTGCATTCCATTCTCACCAAGTTCTAATATGCAGAAAACCGATTGATAGGAGAAGGAAGAGACAATATTTCAGTACAGTTTTATAAGAAAGCCTATGCATCTGCTAGAAGTTCTGCTAGCTCAATATATTAGATGATTTTCCAACCCTATTATTTGGAGAATGTGTGTGCGGTAACAGGTACACTTTAAATATATTTGACATTGTAGTTCATGTATAACAGCTAATAAGATGACTTACACCTAGTGGAAATGTGTTATTTTATATGGCTTCTGAAGTGATTAAATGTCAGCAGACAGTTTAAATTTCTTTTTCTAGTGTTTTCCTATTTGGACTAAGTGTATGTAGCAAGGTTTTTAGGCTAGACTTATAATCTTACTAGATCCTGTTTGTGATCCTTGTGATCCATCAATAGCATTTACTTTGATCAGGGTTGTTGAGTATAAGTGCATTTTAACTAAGATACAAGATATCTGTTTTGCCCAGATATTTAATCAAACCACATTTGAGAACTTTTCCCCAATGTATTCATACCTTTCTGCTTCTCCTGATTTTGCAGGGATATATTTCCCATTATGGGTACTCCCTTTAAAAAAAAAAAGTGTATATTTCTGAATTAAAACTCTTATTATTTTGTTATCTGGTACTCGCCAACAGCTGTTGCATTATCTGTATCTGAACAGCTTAGGTCAGGAAAGTGAGTAACACAGCCCAGCAGAAAAAGGATACATCTGGAAGGCTGCGACTTCCTTCCAGTGAGAAGCAGACATCGATGAGTAAACTGGGAGTCTTAATCTGGCTGTATTAAGCACAACATGGCAGGGATGTTCATTAACTCTCAGTTACAGAACTTGTTTTTTGGTTGTTCCTGCATTGCATCTGAAAACTGTTGTGGTCAGTGGGCTAACAGAGCCTTTTACACTTAGACAAGTAAGATATCTCTCCAAGAACATTACACATTTGTTTGATAATGTCAAATATCACATAGACAACAAACATGATTTCCAAAGTTTGTAAAAGATTATATACATTAAAAGACAGCCACTCCCCCAAACCAATCAATCTATCTATCTATCTATCTATCGCAGGCTTCCCCAAACTCCTGCCCTCCAGATGTTGCTGAACTACAACTCCCATGATTCTCAGCCTATCTGTTTCATTCACAGAAACATTGTAGTTGTAGTTCAGCAACATCTGGAGGGCCGGAGTTTGGGGAAGCCTGATCTATAGATTGTTACATGCACACACTCTAAAGCCAGCAAAGCAAGTGTGGGATTTTTAACATTACAAATATATATATTTCAATTATTTAAATGAGGGAGGTGGGAGAGACCGCACAGATGGAGGTAGGGGAGTGAGGGTAGAGCAAGCTTCCCCTTACAGGAATGCCAATAGTGTTACGTCTGTCGTCAGTGCGTGCTGACGACAGATTTAATATTTGCACAGAATTTGCCAGTCCTGGAAAGAGTCAATGCTGCCAAAGTCATAAGTGCCGAAGGTGTTACTAGCATCCGGCACACAAGTGCAAATATCTGCGATAGTGCAGTGTTTTAAGAAGAAACGCAGCACATCCAGACTCCTATCACCAAGACCACTTCAAATCACTGGTGGAATCGAGAAGAGTTTCCGAAAATAATAATGTGTTGATCAAGCAATTCTCAAATTAGGATTAAACCAGGCCTTTTTGATGACACAAAAACATTTTTGATTAGAATTATATATATACAAACATACATAAATACATACATATAAGCGTTAGTGCCTATTGATTGTAAAGTTGTATCTGAATATTTTGCATTTATATTATTATTATAGCTGTAAAAAAACAATCCCAGACGGCAAAACACAATTTTAAACATATGCAATTTTCTTCCTGAAGCCTGTAGGTAAATTCATCATTGTTGATGATCTAAAACCTTTTAAGTGACACAGAACATGCCTGTTAAATGACTTGGAATTAAAGACCCAGTACCAGAGGAATTCATTGACATTTCATCTAATAATGTCTAAAGTATGCTCCTATTATGGGATGATTACACACTTCCCAATTTATCACATGGCCAGAAGCTAGCACTACAATTTCAGAGAAAATAATGCATTTGGAAATGAAGTTTCGGATATTTTAGCTGTTCATTTAGTAAAACACATAAATAATATGGTTAAAAACACACCGTATATAGTTTTCTGTTTATTTAACACAAGAACCATGTAATAATTTGTGCAATATATGTTTCCATTTAGTGCAACATAATTAAAATAGAGTGAGGTCATATGATGTGAAGCATTGTGATCAAGTCACACATTCTTAAAATTCTAAGAAACAAAGAGGGATGATGAAAGAGGGCTTG